ACGTCTCTTTCCCTGCGGATGTTTCCACGGGCCTTCAGGCACCTTCATCTTCGTCATGTGGCACCTTTGGGGGAGGGAGGGGTACATTTGATTTTTCCCAACTGATTAATTGCCCCTGCCTTGGCTGTGTGCGTGCATGCTAGCAGTCCACATTCAGCCCTTTCTTAGTCTTCTTAAATGCATCCAGCTGAAGTTTCCGGCTGGCGCTGCCATTCAGATGCCAGACACGGGAAGATGCAACGTGGCAGAGCCTACGTCCCCTTCGGGCGTTTCTTCATCCCGCCGAGAGAGGAGGCAGCCTGCTGCTAGTCGGAGCCAACGGTGCCGAGATGCACCTGCAGCTGGAGCCCAATCACTCACCCGGCCACAGCTGTGCGCAGGACAATGGGTGTGCACCAACGTGGCAGGTGGAAAACAAACACCGAACAGGATATCCTACTCCCAAAGGATTCAGACACGAATGGGCAGGTTGACCCTCGCCAGAAAACTGCTCAAGCCTGGAAACCCACCCTAGGAAGGGAAAGCCTGCAGCAGATGCAAGAGCGAGGGAGAAGTGAATAAGCACCTTATGCTCTGCAAAGAGCGAGGGAGCATGGAGGGCCGGGCAAAGGAAGAGAGCCCGGTCCTCAGCTCCCAGAAATCACACCGGCCGCAACGTGCCGGGCTTCTCGACAGCCTCCTGCCTGCCAGCCGGGGCGGATGCGGCACATGGGAGAAGGTCAGACGTGCCGAAGCCCGCCCGAGCCCTGCAGCCTGCACCAGCGTTTATAGCCAACAACATGGCGCTGAAGAAGGCAGGGGAAATTTGCACCTTACAGACTAACTGAATCAGAGATGTCTAGCATAAGCCTTTCTAAGCAAAGGCTTACTTCATCAGACGGAAGTAAGCTTGCAGCTGATGAAACCTCAGGCTCTGTGTCTCCGATGGAGGGCGTCTACACAAGATGCTTTACTGCACAGTAGACTAAGCTACCGAGCAGTCAAGTGTCACCGTCTGCATGTGCAGGCACTTACTGTGCAGTAAATTAGTTTACCGTGCAGTAGAGCCAAATACCATGGATTGCTCATGTAGGCGCACTTGGTGCAAATCTACCCTGTCTTCTGCTTGACCTCAGACTAACACCGTTAACTACCTCCCTCGAGCACCAACCACATTGCCACCTACTCCACGGGCCCGGGTACTCCCTGCCGGGGCAGCTTGCACCGAGCGTCCAGAGCAAGGCTCGCACTCGCGTCTCTGGAGACGGAGGGAGAAGCTACACCTCCTCTGCCACGTGTCTCTACAAACGGTGGAAGAAAGGTGAATGCTTTCTGTCCTTCCAGGAACGGGGCAATAAAGGGGTGGCTGACATCCGTCGCTGTATCCATCATCCATTGCGGGAATGGTTGTGGTGAGAACTCCCCGCAGTTATTTGGGTGTTTGCCCTTCACTCGCTTTGTCTGGGAGACTGCACGATGTGGGACATTTGCAAAATTTTATCCAGTGCCCCTTAACACCTGATTTGGGGACTGATACAAAATGAGTTGAAGCCAGTAGAAACCCCCTCCTGGACTGCAGAGGTTTTTGATAAAGCTCTGGCTCAGCAATGAGCTGGCCATGCGTCCCTGAAGCAGGTTAACATCACTTTGCTCCCAAGACCCTGCGCTCGACACCCGAACCCCGGCCGGCCTAAGCCTCCCAGCAACGGTACCGACCCGTCCAGCGCCACCCCGTTTGGAGACCGCCCAGCGACCACCTGCAAGGTGTCGAGAAGACGTGGTAGCTCTGCAGCATAGAAACTTACGTTTGCTCACGAACAATGCCTGACTTCTTGGCACCCAACGTCCAGTGACCTCTGAGCACCTTCAGAGCACAAAGAAAGGCAACCTGCCCTGACCCCCGTTGCTCACTGGTTTACCTAGGCGGCTAAGTCAACAGCCAACATAATCCAATGTCCTGGAAAACAATAAAATGGATGGAAAACAAAGTGTTCACACTCCTAATGCCCTCCTGCTTCCCATCCTTCCTCGCCAAGGTCTGCCTCCGTCAGCCTATATAAAGCCAGCTCGAGGCCCTTGCTCTCACCACCTGCAGCGGGGGACCGAGGAAGAGCCCAGCAGCTCCCATCACCTACCAACCCCAGACTCAGGTAAGTGATGCAGGAGGTCTCCTCCGGCAGCCTTCCTTCCCGGTGGCCGGAGAGGCCACGCACGGTGCTTACTCGGCTCCCTTTTGGAAGGGTTGACGCCGCTGTCGGGGCCGGATCGCCCCGTGCAAAGGTGGCGATACCGGCACATGCTTCACGGCAGCGTAAAGCTGGGGAGCTGGCGCTTTGCTTCAGCTTTGCAGAAAGCCAGCAGTCACTCCAAGATATTTCTACGATCCCTGAGCTTGCAGCTACACCCAGAATGCATTGCCATCTGTTGTACTTTGACTTTGCCAATGCCTTCATTTTCTCCTTAAACTCGTACTCTCTCATTTACTTCGTAATGGCACAACAGGCACCGGTCAACGAGATGGGGCGAGGCCACCTTCCACCTCCCTGTTGCTGCAAAGGCTGCTTAGATTTAGGTTGGGCAGCTTGGCACAGTCAGCTCCCTATTCCTTCGCCCCTGGAGTTGTTCAGGGACAGCTGCATGCACTCAGCTTAGCTCTAAGCCCCTAACTTGTGGTCCCAGCAATGGAAATGTCCAAGCCACCTGAACTGTTCGGATGCATGCAGGCACATTTCAGCAATTCACTTTTCGTGGAAAAAAAAAAAAAACCTAGGGTTTTGACTGGTCAAATAAAATTTGGTCAATTGACCAGTCAAATATCAATGAAAAATTGTAAAATATTGCCAATAGGGGCAAATAATACAGAGAAAAGTCCAAAATGTTGATTAAATGGGTCAAAAATAAAAAAATCATATTATGTCAAGAAAACATACACACACACGCACGCACACACTCTGTGTGTGTGTATATATATGTGTGTGTGTGTACACACACACACACACACAATTTTATTTTATTTGTAAAATTGCTGTAATCTTTGACTGGTCAAAAAAAGATGCAATCAGCTGCCCAGCCGAGTGACCAGTCCGCTCCCAGCCTTTGCCTTCCGCCCTTACCACGAGCCCCCAGAGTCCAAGGCACGAGGCAGGCCCGCGGGGGTCACCCCCACAGCGCCGAGCTAACCCCACCCCCCGGTCCCCAGGGTGCCGCGGCGTCCCCGTGCCAGGAGCAGCCATGGTGCGGATCTGCGCTTTGGGCCTCGTCTTGAGCGTGCTCGTTTCTGCGTGCGTTGCCAGCTCGGCAGACTGCGGAGCAAGAATCAACCAGGCAGCTCTAGACTATGGTGAGTGAGCCCCGGTTCGCATCGACACCAGCACGAGCGGAGAACGCCCCGGCCTTTCCGCAGCCTCGCTCCTTCCAGCAACCAAACCCCTTCCCAACGGCACAGGGCGGCTCGTTACCCATCTCCCCATTCTACAGATGGAGAAAGCGAGGCACAGGAAAGGAGAGAAGTGCCCTCGATGCTACCCCAGCAGTTGTGGATAAGGCATGATCAGGGCTGAGACTACAAGGAGAGGGAAGATTGCCGTTCTATAAAGCACATTATTTATTGAGAGAGAACATCATGCACAGACGAGCGCGGAGGTAGTTCCTCTGCCCAGCAGCTGTCCTATCCTCAGAGTATTGATCGGGCAGCTCTTCGCAGGTCACTTGAGCAGTCTTGGGGGCATGTCCAACTACCCTCTTTACACCCTTGCCTTTTATTAGCTTGATTTGATCCATCTACGGCACAAGCATGCCCTGGATCTATTGGCCTAACTAACCCACCCACGCATCACTCCTGCCCACACAAGATATTCACCCCCTAGGTCTTTTCTGCCTGGCAGGAGGGTTAAAAACTTCAGCTCAGCTTTAGCTGGGACAAAGTTTTGCACCTTGCCTGTTTGTTCATAAACTCGACTCTTGCTCTTGTGCTTAACGAGCAAGGAAATGTGGGTGTGGGTCCTGGTTATCTGGCCTACACCAAAGCCAAGCGAACAGAACCCCGTTCCTACACTGACCACAAACCCAAGAGGTCCTAACAACATTTTCCCCTTTTCCTACAGTTTCCCAAGTGGCCAAAGCTGAAAACGAGATACCCTTAGAGAAGGCGCTAGCAGCCATCTCCATCCCAGACCTCTCCACGGTTCCCCGAAAGCTCACAGGGTGAGTCCAAGACCGTACCTCGTTCCAGGTCTCAGCACCGCATCGGCAGCTCATCCTGGTGTTTAACTGGGACGCTCCGGCAGTCGCACCCGGCACGGCTCGGGGTGCCCGGCAGAGGCTGCCAAGGGACAGCCTATTTCAAAAGGTTTTGTCAAACGTTGAGTTTCTGCTCTGCTCTTGGAGGCAACAGCATGCCGCGTGACAGCTCAGTGCCAACAGGTCCCTCAAGCATCCCCACGCTGAGGTCTGAGGCTTTGGCAATGACTGTACATCCCCGGGGTTACTCGGCCTTCCCCGCAAACTCCATGAAAAGCAGCTGAGAGGGGAAAGGTCCCGCATCACAACCAGAGTCAGGTATCCAGGTTGTAGCCGTACTGGTCTAGAGGAAAAAGCAATCAGGACTCGTGGCAGAGGTGATCTCTTTTATTAAACCAACTTGATTTTTGCAATTTATTTCTTTATTTTTTTTTTGCAAAAATCAAGTTGGTCTAATAAAAGATATCACCTCTGCCACGAGTCCTAACCAGAGTCAGGCAGTCCAGACACATGGTCAGGAAGGCAAGGCCTTCCCAGACAGAAAGCGAGCGTGCTTTAGGTTTACCATACACATAGCTGTGGGAGCCCTATGCCATGGTTTGCAGATTTTCCCGTTTCTGATTTAAGCTTTCCAGGTAAAGGAGAAAACTAAGAAGCTGGAACTGAGCTATATTTCAGGCCCACAACACCATGGCCACCAGTAACACGTCTACACATTCAATTAATGCATGTTAGGTAATGCATATTAAAGCTCGTACCTCCATTGCGAGGTACTAGGAAAATGCACATTAGCCTGGCTTAATGCACGTTAACTGAAGTGCACGCATTTTAAGTGATGCTTAATGCACATTATCCTACTTTAACACGCATTATGTAAAAAGCACTTTTTATGTGATGCTTTAATGCACATTAAAATAGGCTAATGTGCATTAACGTGCACGTGTAGACGCACCCTAGGTTCCTACAGATGCGGGCCTCTCAGCCCTGGCCTGGGACTGGCTCTCAAACCTAGCTCTCCTTGTGCAGAGGGGGCGGGAGAAGGTATTTCAGAGACGATGTCCTGATCCTATCTTTTGGGGAGCTGTTTTGTCTTGTAAATGTTCTGGATGTGATACCCTATAAATGCGAGGCAGAGCTCAGCACCCCGCGCTGTCCCCACCGATACCTCCGTTCCTATTCCCACAGGATACGTATTAAGAGCGTCAACCTGCTCAATCTTTCCACGACGCTTCAGCCTGGCGCTGGCCTGCAAATGACTGCGGACCTGGACCTCGGCCTCTGGGGCCAGCTGTGAGTGTGGGAGCAGTCCTTACACCAGTATAAGTCACACGAGTGGTGTGAGAGCAAAGACTCCATCTGCCCCTCTTGCAGGGGGCAGCCTTGGGGAGGGGGGAGGAAGGGGTTGCCATCGACTTGAACCGGGGGCAAGGTCAGACCTGCGGCTGCACCGATTCAGTCTCTGTCTCTCTCTTGCTTGTGCAGCATGGACGCTGTGATGGAGATGACAGCAAAAGTATCCATCAGAGCTGAAATCCATGCAAGGCTGAACTCTGAGAAGAACATTGAACTGAGCATTAGCGCCTGCAAAACCATCGTGGGAGGCATCACCCACGGCTCGAAAAAAGGCAGGTGAGTGCCACAGAGCCCCTCTCGCTCCGGGCATGACAGCGGGACGGGGCAGACCCCGAGACAAGCAAACGTCCCTGCCGTGCCTCCGGGAGCACAAGGACACCCGGAGGGGAGCAGTGAAAACGTCTCTGAACCCCCCCGGTTTCACAAAGGTTCGCACAAACATTGAACATCTCCCTGGCAGAAGTTTGCTATCGGTCACTAGTTACTTGCTTCAAAAAGCGGCATTTTGCACTTAGGGAGCGAGAGCAAAACCATGGGCACGGTAGGAGACTGGTCACAATAAACCGCAGGAGAAAACCAGGCTCTAAACAAAGCGCTGGCCAAAGCCAACGAGTCAGAGCAATATGCCTTGGCAAATATTCCCAGGGTGGAATAGCTCTGCTGCAACGAGGACCAGCTCGCAAGCACCACGCTAGCCAGGACGGGGGAGGCATTCCCAGCAGATAGCCCTTACCAACACTTGACTACCGTAGCACGGTTAGGACGGAGTTCAACGAACCGTCTCTCTTCATAAGGATTTTTAACACGCAATTAGATTCGACATAGCGTAGAGCGGGGGTGGTCACCTGCAGCGCCCATGCCACAGGCCCACGGGCAGCCGCTGTGCGTGGCCCGCGGCAGACCGGGGAGGAGATGGGGCGCGTGGTGGCAGATAGGACAGGGAGCAGATAGCAGAGCAGCAGGTTGGGCAGGGGAAGGGGATCGGAGCGGCACTCGGGGAGCTAATCTGTAGCACGCCTGCTGAAAAGCTTGGCCGGCGCTGGCACGGAGGGTAGTTGTGAGCAACGCCGCACGCCGTGCAGAGTCAGACCGCACACGATCCCCGTGCTCCTCTGCTCAGGCCGCTCTTTCTTCCCATCCAGCCTGCAGTCGGTGCTGAAGGAGCTGAGAGCTCATATCCACGCTGCGTTAGCTGAGAAGGTAAGCCTCCAAAACCTCATCCTGCTCCTTTGGCACCGTGGGCAGGTTGGTGAAATGGCAGCAGTGAACTCGGGGCTCGTCAAAGCCGCTACACTGACGGTGCTTGAAAATGACTCTCCTCTGTAAAAAAAAAAAGCAGCATGTCCAGCCACCACGCCTAGCCTGACCGGGCAGCACAGGGCCAGCTCCGCAGCAGCCCGGCCCCATGCACGCTCGGTCCGGTCCCCCACCCCAGGGCATGGGACCTGGCTCTGGTGCCGGAGCCTCTTGCAGCCAAGTGACAACAGCTGGGGGAAGCTTGAGAGCAATCAAACCATTTGGGATCTTGCTGCACTCCTGGCTTAGGAAATGCACCTTGTAAATGTGAAACAGCTGCTGCAAGAGAGGCCTCCTATTCTCCTCAAGCAGACACGGACCCCGAATCCATCCGGAGGAGGGATATTTGGAAGTGAACCCCCCCACCACCACGCCGGCACTGGGCTCGCGGAGGGTGGCAGCCTCCAGGCTCCCACACGCCCCTTCACTTGGCTTTCTACCTTTCTCCACAGGCGTGTTTGCAAATCAGCACCATTGTCCTGAGGCAGAACAGCAAGATAGCCCGTGCAACAGGTGAGCTCCAGCCGGCTTCAATCTAGCCACGGGTCAAGAGCCCAGAGCAGCTGTCTGGAGCCAGGCAGCACCGAGCACAGACATCCCAGGCCAGCTCTGCAAGTGCTAGCTCCAGAGCTAAAACCCACCGAGCCACGGTAGTGCAAGTGTTCAGCTGGCCGAGGCGCAGCACCCCGCCGGGGTCGCTGTCGGGCTTCCAGCTCCAGAGCCGGCCCGCTACCCCTGCTGCGGGCGGTGCAGGCGCCAGTCTCAGTCGCAGCACGCTCAGGGTGCATGCACAGCGCCGCATTTGTGCTGCGGAGAGATAAACCCTGGTGCGGGTTCAAGCTTCAGGCAGCAAATCCTGCAGGCGCCTGCCTTGCAGGAGATGCAGAAGCACGAGCTGTTGGGTGAGCGTCAGCCCGGGGGTCTCCTATGTCTGGCAAGAGCAGGGCGAGGGTGTGAGATCCCGCGGGACGGAGCGAGGCCACGGCTGTTCTCAGCAGGACTGGAAGGAGTGGTGCAGACATCTGCGGAGGGGCAATCAAAGTACCCTGCCCTCGTGCACGGGCTCTCTCCGTTAACGAGGGCGGGGATGGGAAGGGAGACCCTTCTCTCCCCGTTTTCTGCTCCACACATCCCACGCCCTGGCAGCCTGGTCTAAAGGGTGCCGACTCCAACCTGGGATGGGGTTTCCCTTTCGGGGTCCCTGAGCAAAGGCCCTGCCCCTGCTCAGGATCAGACTAAGCCTGCATCATAGTGCGACCGGGCCCCGACCGGCTCTGGGCTCGTGCAGGCGCCCGGTCTGCACCAGACTACTTCCCCTGGAGCACCTGCATCCCCGGCCATTAGCACAGATGCAAAAGAAGGGCGAGGCTCAGGAAGCACTTCCCCAAGTCCTTGCCTCCTCGCACACCTCCATCCATGCAGGACAAGTCGGGGGCCACAAACTGTCTGGAATCAGGAGATGGCTCCAAGTCTTCTTTACCCGTAACTGCTTTATTGGGGTTTTTTTCTCATGTTCCCCTGGGCGCGCTGGCTGGTTGCAGACAAGCTGCCACTCCTTGCAGAAGGCCAGATCCAGTACGTCCCACTCAGCGCTCCTGTGTTTGCCAGAAAATGGATCGACCTGCCCTTGCAAGTAGGTGCTGGGCTCCTCCCGGGCCTCACATCCCAAGGCACGGGGTTTCATCTTTCCTGGAGGCTCGGCCGCCTCCAAGCCTAAACGCCAGAGACACAAAGGGGACCTGTCTGCCGTCCCCGGGGCAGGGGCAGCCTCCTCTGAAGTGGGGTCTGGTTCACCCTCCTCTTGCATCTCTTCCAGACCACGTTCTTCTTCGGAGAACAGGAGATCCCCATTCCTCCCAGCCAGGCCCCCTTCGCTCTGCCGGAGCAGGCGGCCGACAGCTCCTCCCACGTCACCATCGGCCTGTCCCAGGAATTTTACAACAATTTCTTCCTAGCCCTACAAACGGCCGGAGCCTTCAACCTGACCATCCAGGTGAGCAGAGCCGCTGTGGGCTGCAGGAGGGAGGGAGCGTTTGGGGGCACGGCCGGTTCGTTTTTCCCCCCGACTCCGCCACCAACCATTCGCAAGAGAGCTGCTCTCGCACGAGGGGTACTGCCGGCAGAGAACCACAGAAATCACAGGATCCTAGAAAACGAGGGATGAAGGGAGCTCAGGAGGTCACATCTAGTCCAACCCCCTGCGCCAAGCAGGACCAGCCCCAACTACATCATCCCAGCCAAGGCTTTGTCTACCCAGGTCTGAAACACCTCCAAGGATGCACCACCTCTCTGGGTAGCCTGGTCCAGTGCTTCACCACCCTCCTCGGGAGAAAGTTTTTCCTAATATCCGACCTCCACTCCCCTTGCTGCAGCTGGAGCCCATTGCTCCTTGTCCTGCCGTCTGCCCCCACCGAGAGCAGCCCAGCTCCGTCCTCTTTGCAGCCGCCCAGCAGGGAGGTGAAGGCGGCTATTCAATCTCCCTCAGTCTCCTCTTCTCTGGACTGAATCAGCCCAGTTTATGTGCCCCAGCAATTTTCATTGCCCTCCATTGGAGCATCTCCTGGAAGTCACCAGCTGACACCCAGGAGCTGCAATGGGTTGTGCCTGGTCCCATCAGCCAAATCACCAACCCAAATGCAAGCCACGCATCTTCCTCAGAAACATCAAAGCCACTTCGTTTGGGACATGCCCAGCGAGGGCAGCGATGCCTTTTCACTCAGTGTCGCCCAGCCCCGAGCTCAGCAGAGCTGGAGCCGCACGGGAGCCACCCAAGTCATCACTGCCCATCCCGTAACCGGGTATATTCTCATTTTTGCAGAGCGAGCTAACGACCGCCAGCCTAGCACAGCACGGCGCTAAGGTGCGTGACACTCACTGCTCCCTTGTCCCGAGCCTCGGAGGTTAGCAACGTGTCTGCGGGTCACCTTCCTTTCTCTTGGAGCAGACGGGTGCTACGAGGGCGCCGAGCCCTGAGATTGGGGAGGGGAGGCATCGACGGGGCAGGCTGACCCTTGCCCCAGGGTGACTTCCCTGCACTTGGGAGGTGGTTGAACCCAGCTGGGCAGGGATGAAGGGCAGAGCTAGCAGCAGCAACCATGCACTGAGCCCCATGGAGCGGGGCACCTGCAACCTCCCTTATCCCCCCCGAGCTAAGAAAGCTGCCAGGGCCACCAATGCTGAGGACCCCTCAGAGCCACGGAAAGCGTTGACTTGGTCGTGTCCGTTCTGCACAGCAACAGGTCAGCACCCAGTACCCGAAGCCCTTGGCTCTGGTGCTAGCAGTGGTGTTCCCCAAGCCACCCGCAGTGGTCCTGAACGAAGGCGAGGCGGTCGTGGTGCTCTCTCCCACCATCAAGATCGGGGTCCAAAAGCCGGGCTTCCAGGTCCTCCTGAGCCTGGATGTGGTAAGCAGAGCCTTGCAATACATGCTGGGCACGGTCCCTCGCCTGTCTCGCGTCCTCCACCCACGGACCGCCGGGGCCGGCTGCGCGCCGTGCCGTTGGCTGTCCGGCAGAGCAGCACGTGCGAAGCGTGCACACACAGCGCGACCGGACCGCTTTGGGGGCTGACTGCCTTCTTCTCCAACCGCAGGAGATGACCGCGAGACTGCAGGTTGCCGCTGACAACGTGAAGATGATGCTGTCTCTTGAAGTGGAAGGGTAACGAGTCCGCCGATGCCTTTCCCTTGCCGGGGGTGGAAGGGGGTGCTCCCCAGCAGCAGCGGCAAGGGGGGAAGGAGGCCGAGGGGTCTAGGCAAAGTCTTCCAAGAGATTCCTCCATTTCAATGAGGAAATATTTATTGGGATCTTGGTGCGTTGGGTGGGCATCCATGCAAACGCCAACCCCATTTGAATCAAGGGGGGGGCACCTTTAGTCATCGGTGAGAAGAGCCAGCTCCAGATACGTTTTCGGAGGAGAGCTCGCAGCTAGACCCTGGTGAATTTTCCCCCAAAGGGACAGGGCACGATCTCAACCGGGTTTCCTTTCTGCAGTAATTTCACGCTCTCCGTGGCCTCTTCTAAAGTGGGCGCTGTTGAGGTAAGTACCTGATGACTTCCTGTCTCAGCCCTAAGGAAGCCGCATGGCGCTGGTTTGCCTCCGGGGCGGGAAGGGAAACTTTGCTTCATGTCCACCGAAGAGTTTGGTCCGTGGCAGATGAGGTGTTTGATCCAAATTACAACCTGGGTCGCGTGTCCCCTCTTTTTCTCCGGAAGGGGAGCGCCCGTATTAGTTTCCCTGCACAAGACAAGGGGACGCTTGCTAGGAACGACGGCTGATAGTCCAAGCAGCGGCCTCTGACTTTGGGTGTCTCCGATTTGGGGGGCAGGAGGGCGACCTAGCCTGAGCTGGGTTTGTTAATGCACTCCTGTATTTACCCTGGTACTAACGGTGCCCTTATCAGGGCCGAATCAGACCCCGGGGTCAGCGAGAACGATATGGGGTTAGCAGAGTCCAAAACCCAAGCGACCATGGGTTTGTTCCCTCTTTGTGGCTGGTTTCTCCCTTTCTTATGGTGTCAACCCGTCCCACGGTCACTGAGCTTATCCTCCTTCGGCAGGGTGACCAACTGAAGGAGTTATTTGGCGATGTAATTCAGAAAGAAATCTTGGCCCGTACGAATGGTAAGGATGCCGGGGTCGTTGTTTATACCCAGGAGGCTCTGACCGCGATGGGCTGGATGCAACCCCCCGTTCTCTGCCACGCGGGTTAGGCGCCGGCCCACGTTAATGGCAGCTTTGTGCCCCTCCCGGGGCAGAAACTAGAGCGGTGCCTCCGCCGGCCCCCTCCCCTTGGGCTTGGAAAAATCCTCTGTATCTTGCCCTCTACCTATCGAAGTAGTCTGCATCATTTGGCACCAGGAAGGGTGACTGCAACCCTCCAAAACCTTCATGTCCCTAAGCTTGGTCCTTCCACCCAAACTGGTGTGCTTCTTCCCAAGAGAAAAAAGCTCAGCATCTCCCTGCAGAATCGCACGCGCTGCCAAGCCAGACTATCCTCCGCCACGACCTGCGCCCTTCCCTCCCAGGTCCATCGGTGGTCATCAGCTGGTTACACCAGTCTGAAGTGGGTGTCTGGTGTGGTAAGCGTGGCCGGCCTCCATCTGCGAGAAGGAAGACGGGTTTCCTCGCAGCTGGAAGCAGCCGAGCCAGGGACGCGCGCCCGCGAGATCGAGCCCTGGCCTGCAGCAGGGCTGCGAAGGAAAGCCTCCTCCGAGTCATGCCACAAACAGACCCATCACGGGCGGCGGAAAGACTCTGGCTTGCCACAGTGCCGAGGAGATGAGAAACCGGCCCTCCGTTGGGTGCTCAGCTACAGCCCCTTGCAGCTGCATGAGGCTGTGGAAATAATTAGCGCACATAAAGTAAATGCCAGCCTCTCTCCGAGCGCCCCGGCAGCATTTCCAAGCTGTCCGGGTGATGGACTTGCAGGCTAGCGGAGGAGAATTAGCAGAGTGCCATTAAGATCTGGACGGCCACGGACTGACGGGCCGAGCCTGAAGGTGGTTTTACATTATCCAGACGCAGCCACTCATTTCCTCCCTCTCTCTTTGTCAGAGCTGTTGCGTGAAGGGATCTCCCTGCCGCAGCTGAGTCTCATTTTCAACTACGTTGATATCAGCATCGCCATCCACAAGGTGAGCAGCAGGCAGGTGTAGGCAGCTCCCTCGGTAGCTGGATGCCACCCTGGCCATGCACCCTCCAGTGAAGTCTCGGGCACGCGCGGCCAGGGGATGACTGGGAACTGTGACTGTGCTTCGCTCACTGGTTTCCCTTTCCCAGCGCACGGGCACTTCCCACCTGGAAGTGGGGAGGAAGCGGTGCATGGGAAGGGAAGGCGGGCACGGGGGCTATTTCCCACGCCTTGCGCCCTTGCAGAAGTTCAGAGCACACGGAAGACGCCACGAGGGATCTCAGGACATTGTTGTCTGCAAAAGCTGGGATCCGGACTCAAAGGTCCCTGCACGACTTCTCCATCACGGAGAAATCCTGGCGTGGGGCTTTGTTCCTTTCTCTAAAACGGAGGCTAGAAGTAGGCATGAGCCCTGGCTCCTCCGGGCTTGCAAACCCCCAGAACTAAGTGTTATTGCCTTAAATAAAACAGCTCTGCCCTCCATATCCACGTGTAAGGGATGGGCATGCAAGAGGCAATAGTGCGAGTGGCAAACTCTGCAACGAGGCACTGGTTTTAAAGGACAGCTGAGCAGAGTGAGATGAGATCTCAGGAAAAACTTCCTTGTGATTAGAAAAGCAAGGCTGTAGGGTAGTCTGCCGGGGCCACGACAGAGCCGCCTGCGCTGGGACTGGCGAAGAGGAGGCCGGACGAGCATCGGGCACCGGACAGGGATGGTTTAAAAAGAGCATTGCTGCATTTGTGCAGGGGTTGGACCAGACACCGCCGGGGGCCCCCCCTCACCCCGGGAGCCTAAACTAAACCAAGAAAACCAGGAGCCGTGTTTAATCTTTGTTTTTCCCTTCTGCAGGGTTACGTGCTGATCCCTGTAAACCTCGAGTACATCGAGGGAGATGGACAGCAAGCCACTGAGATCTGAAACTTCGCTGGGAGCTCCTCTCCTCTCGTTTTATCCCCAAACGCTTCAGGTCTGCGGAGAAATTGTTCTTTGGTCTCTCTGACTGGATGGATTCAATAGCGAGCCACGTTTCTTTCCCTGGTGAAATGTTAAGGATACTTCTTTGCTTTTCTAAGAGTAGTCTCTTACGTCGAGGGTGCAGTCGACGCTGTGCTGGGAAGTCTTGCTCCTGTCCGGCTCAGACGCGGGGTTGTAACAAGGTTTCCTCCTTTCATTAAAAACTTCCTCTCGTGCCACGTTTCTGGTCTGATTCTGGTAGTGTTTTCTTCCCCACGAGCTTTACACCTGCGCAGAAACGCACGGCCGCATGCCGATGAGGGTGGCACACAACGGGGCAAACCTCCCACCTGCATGGGGGTGTGGGCACGGGCATGGGCACGCGCGGCCAGCTCGCAGCAGAGGAAAGTAGCTCGTTGCCTCTCGGGGGCAAAACAAAGTGGCATCATTTACCCACAAAAGTGCATCTGCTGCCATTGCTGCCGGTGCTGTCGGGCTTCTCGCCCCCGAGCTGGATCCTCGCGCCGATTCGTACCAAAGGTGCCACAGCTGTAAACGGGTCATTGGGCTGGGGAGCGCGAGACGGCCAGATGCGAGGCTAGTCCCATCGCTCCCTTCTGCGCTGCTAGCCATAGAAAGCCACGCGGCTCCTTGCACTGAGCCGGGCTGCTAAATGCAGGAGGGCTCTCACCTGCGTGACCGCCTGCCTTTCCCGGGGCCCAGCTGGCCTGTCGGCTTTCCCTGAACCACGCGAGAAAGGAGAAGCATCCGCTTTGCTGCTGGTCTCTGCTGTTCCCTGCCTCCAGATGAGACCACAGCTCTCCTACAGCTCAGCTCTAAGCTTCATTTTTTAAATACTCCCTCCCACCCCCCGCAAAGCTGGGCAGCAGAGAGAGCACAGCCCCCCCAAAACGAACAGAGACCCCGGGCAGGGAACGCGGCTGTGCCCTGGGCTACGCAAGAGCCCTGCTGAAGGGAAAGCAGCGCCGAGTGCCGCGTGGATGAGCCAAACCCACCCGTTGGACTAAAAATACCAGATTCCTGACCCAAAACACAGCTCCTTTTTATTGTAAATGTCCTCTTTTCCTACCCCTTCCTCTACAGCTTTCCCCACAACTCCCAATTTTGGGGCATCCCTTCAGTGGCCTGCAGTTTTTGGCAGCAGCAGAAACAAAAACATCTAAATATGCCTGAAAATAAAACCTATGGCTCTGCCTGAGATTTCGAGTCCATTTGCAAGCTCAGGGATGCCTGGATACAATCCAGAGCTGCTGGAAATCAGCACAGCCCCATCTAAATGCAAAGGGGCTCCACCAGTTGACACCAGCTGAGGAGAAGACCCCAGCCCTTTGGATGGTTGCCTCAACCTCCAAGCATCTGGAGGTGCACTCGTCTCTGGGTATCAAACTCGCCCGCTGCCGTTTCCTTTTTGCCCATCCCTGCACTGCACATCTGGCACGAAGTTCAGGTGAGCTTCGCCTCTCGATTTAAGGAGGGCTGTAGTGACCTCTCCTGGTTTCTGTGCATACAGCAAACTCCACTCCGAAATCTCAGCAGG